TATAGGAGTGACTTTGTTCTTTTGCAACCAGCCATACTGATGCCTTGTCACACGAAAAAGGTTTTTTTTTTGTGTTGATAATAAGGTAGTTTACTGAACGATTGTTTGATATATTAGTCAATGTTATAAACGTTACTTTGTTCTTTTGCAAGTAGTCACACATTGTTGCTAGTCGCATAGAAAACATGATGTATACATTTTATTTTTCACAAAGTTTCATATGTGGTTGGCCACATCGTGTGGCCGGGTTATTTGTTTAGGGGTTACTCAGTTGGTCAGGGGTTACTTGATCTGTCAAAGGTTACTCGACCAAGAGTTACTCGGTTAGGGTTACTCGGTTAGTCAAGAGTTAATCGGTCAGGAGATACTCAGTTGATTAAGGGTTACTTGGTCGACAGGGATTAATCAGTCAAAAGTTACTCCGACATAGTGTTATTTTTGTTTTAATACTTATTAGATTAATAAAAAGGTGGTTATTGAGTGATTTTTAAAAATATAAAAGAAAAACAATTGTGATTGAAAATAGTGGACCTTATGGTGGTTATATTTTATTTTTTAAAAAAAATTGAAGTACACATAATTTAAAGATTGATTTCAAAATTCCTCAAAAAAAAAAATATTAAGAAATGATTTTCAAGTGTTGTGCGGAAAAGTTAGGAAAAAAATGTGCAATAATAATATAGATTCCTTGTATTATTGGGGTTTCTAAAAAGAATTTTTTGGATGATATAATAAAGGAAAATGCTATATGTAACCCTAAGGGCTATGTATAAGAAGCTAAAAGAAAAAAGTATTATTAAATAGGTAATTTTTTGTGTTTTTTATTTTATTTTATTTTATTTTATTTTTGTAATATTAATAAAAATGGATAGTATGTGTGTTGTTAAGAAAAAAATAACAAAAAATAGAAGTGGAAGTTATTTGGAGGATTATTTTTGTTTTTTTTTTTTTAAAAAAAAAGAAGATGGAAGTTATTTGGAGGATAGTGTGAGGAGAAAAAAAAAGGGAGTGCATGAGAATTGAGGATTGAGGTTTTGGAGAACCTCATTAACTTACTCTACAATTATATTATAGACTAGATGGAAGCCCGTGCGATGCACGATTTTTTCATCTAAGATTTCTAATTATTTGATTTATTGTATTTAATAATTTCAGACAAAATTAAAAAAAATTTAATATATTTTTTTTACTATAATTTATAATGAATTTATTAAATATAAATAAATTGTAAATATGATTTTTTTCGTTATATAAAATCTTTAATGTGAAATGATAAATTTTTAATAATTTAAATCCTAAATCATTATTCATTGTTTTACCATATCTTTTATTTCGATAGAATCACCAACCTTGTCCACAACCAACCTACTACATCAATGGATAAATTGAACCGTGAAATGTTAGCCAAACTGTAATAATTATAAATTAAATCTTTACATTTATATGAAATAAATTAATATATTTACCAATAAATGAAAAATTGTTGCAATATAAAATCAAATCTATGCATTGAAATTTTTTTCATCATCTCCAAAAATGACCAAAGTCATCCATATATTAAGTATACAACATCTAACCTTATGTCATTACATAAACAAATAATCGTTAAGTAAATAAATACAATGTAACTAATAATTACAAATATAAATTTAAACATAAGATTTTAAAAATTACCCGGACATTGATGATCTTAAACTAACACAAAATTCGCTTGATGGGGTTTTGTATTGATACGAAATTTTATTTGTGTCGTATGATGTGTTAGATCTGCATGTAAAAAAACATTTAGTAAATAAAACATAAACATATAATCGTTGAGTATCCCAAATTAATACAATGTAAGTAATAATTAGAAATACTAATTTAAACATAAGATTTTAAAAATTAAGCTAAAAATTACCTGACCATTGATGACCAAAAATTAACACAAAATTACTAACACAAAATTCGCTTGATGGGGTTTTTTATTAATACGAAATTTGTTTGTGTCGTATGATGTGTCAATTTATAGTGGTAGGTATCACAAATTTTAATTTAATTATAGTTAACGAACAATTTGTATTTCTTATCATAAATACTATCAAAATTTATCCTATAATGATAGGTATCAAACTTTATTATAAGCGTTTATCATTTAAATATTTTTTAGTATATTTTTTTGGGATTTCTTATAGTCATAGTATTGAATTAATAAATTTATTTTTTCCTATATTTTTACTTTGTTTTTTTTTCATTAAAATAATTTAATTCGTAGATTATAATCTACGTGGCATTAAAATTTTAGATATATAAAAAATTTTAGATTATCTAGGTGGCGACATAATTTTTTAATTCAAAAATAAAATACAAATCTTTCTTTTTGTTGGTCGAAATAAGTATATTTTTTACGTGGTGCTCCAAATGCTCTCCAAAAATGCCTACTTTATATATATATATATATATATATATATATATATATATATATATATATATATATATATATATATATATATATATTAGATTAGTATAGATATCATTGATGTGTGCGCTTTCTTCAAACCTCTAATGCAATAGAAGTTAGGGTTTCCTCCATTAATAAACCTTATAAAAAGCTTCGTGTACATAAACGGTTGAATCTTTGTCTGAGATGAAATCCTTTGGCACTACTACTTCGTGTACGCTTCGAGTTGAATTTCGTCACTTTGTGCTTGGTAATTAAATTATGAGTTTTGGCAACTATGATGACCAACTGCAAATTTTGTTTTATTTAATTAAAAGACTAATAAAAAAAATTACTTGTCTAAACTCTTTGTTTTGGTAATTTATGATGAAATCCTTGGACCATAGAAATAAATCTTGTTTCCAAATATTATTTTTTGTTTTTCTTACTTTTTACTATGTTGGATTTGGATGATATTAGTAACTATTTTTGAATGATATTCTTTAAGTGTTTAGGCTGTATGATATGATTAACTGGTTAGATATATGATATCATTCATTATTTAGATGATATCTTTCGGTGTTTGGATGATATGATTAATTGTTTGGATGGTATCTTTTAGTGGTTGGATGATATCATACATTGTTTGGATGATATGATTAATTATTTGGATGATATCTTTAACTGCCTAGGCTAGATGACATGATTGATTGGTTGAATGATATGGTTAATTGTTTGTATGATATCTAAGACTACTTAGATGATATTATTAATTGTTTGGATAATATCAGTAACTACTTGGATGATGTGGAGGATATGATTAATTGGTTGGATAATATTGGTAATATTATACTTAATTTAACAGTTTTAAAGGTTGAGCTTTCCTTATTTTGTGTTGGTCTCACGAAGTTATTAGTGAGGCAAGTCTCATCCAATAGCTTCTCAAATAATATATCTCTAATTTGGTTTTGCAAGATTTTAAAGATGTCCTTTGACTTTTGATTTTTTAAATTATGTATTAACATAATTTTATTAAAAAAGATATTATAAAACTATAAATTTAGACAATTGTAAACTTTATTTTTTTATACAAAATATATATATTAATGAGAATTTTAAGTCTAAGTGATAATAGTTTGATCATTCAAAACAGGAACATCATTTTGAAACACCGAAAGTTCTTAGATTAAGCTACTAAGTTTTCACACCTTATATAGGCAACACGCAATAGGTATTTAAATCTAGATAGCTTAAGGTCTAGGTCTGGTTTAACTCTTTTTAGTTTGAACTTTTTTTTTTTTTTTTTGTGTAATTCGATCCCTGATTTGGAGTTACCTGCATTGATCTGGTTTGGCCTTCATTTTTATTTAATATAATTTAGTGTGGTTTGATTCTAATAAGATTGAGTAATGTTGCCTATAATATCCTACATACCTTATACCCCATTTTGTCTAAAACCCTATCTCAGCTACATGGCCTCACAATTATCTTTTTGGTTATTTTGCATACTCAAACAACTTTAAATAATCAACTGTTTATTAAACACTTTTATACAATCAGTTAGTAAATTATAAAACAAAAATCAAATAGTAAGATTAATAAGTTAATACAAGCATACAATCAATTAACCAAAATCAGCTAACACGCTACATGCAAAATCAACTTAGGCTTTCATCCTTTCACCAAACATGGCGGCCTATATATGTTTATGAGGGTATTGTAACATAACCGCGTACAGAGTAGATTTTAATTAAGCAAATAAAGTCAATATATACGGAGTAAAAGAAAAAAAGTTAATAGTTCAATTTGATACTTCTCTTTTTTTACTTGTTCCTTAGCTTATTGATTTGATGCATATGTCTAAAAATAATACGGAGTAGATGATGTGATGAATAGTACAATAAAAAAAATAAAAAAATAAAGTTCTATAATATTTTTCACGTGCTTAGTGAATGTATGGTCATTGTAAGAAAGTGAATGTATGGTCGTTGTGTGACAGGTACAATATATGTTCACGAAACAAACAAAATATGATGAATGCACATACTCTCAAGTAAGAAAATTTGTGAACTAAATTTTCTAATCCTGATTACAACAAATTTAGGTGTTATTAATTAATTCTGATGTTGTCACCAAATATGGCCGGTTAGGGTTGTACATGACATTATGAAAGGGAATTCACTTACAATTTTATCAGATATAGGAAGTTTTCATTTCAAAATTATATACAATGTTATGGTAAAAAGAAATTAAAGGTAGTCCATTGACCTTATAAAATATTTTAACTATCTTTTTTTTTAATCAATACTTCGTATAAAATACTTATTTTGTTTGATAATAGTATATAACACCGACTTGAACAAATAAAAATAAATGGTTGGTACATATAATTAAATGAGGTTTTCTCTGATTCCAAATACCACTATTATTATGCGTGGTTCTTAAGCGGACTAAGTGAAACCTTACTAAAATACACACATGCATTATTACAATGGATGGTTCACTTATAAGTTATGACCCAATAATATTTAAAGCAAATGCGTGACCCCATTACATTTTACTATTCCTATTATATTGATCATCAAAGTACAGTAAAATATGTGTGGTCGTCTATAATTCATTCAGATTTTCTCAGGAGTTTTCGGCGCTATTAGGTAAAGGTAGATTAGTTCTCTATTCTCACTTGATCTCTTAGTGTGATACGAAGTACAATACTTCAATTCAAGTAGGTATTGATAAATTGAAAACTTTTAGCGAATTGGAAAAAGAAAGGGATGGAAGATGAAAAGAAGGTGGTATTCCTTGGTTTTTTTGCAAGCCCTTACGCTAGATGGGTGAAGATTGCCCTTAAAATCAAGGGCATAACCTATGAATATGTTGAAGAGAACTTGAAAAAGAAGAGCCAAATGCTACTTCAGTACAATCCTATACACAAGAAAGTTCCCGTACTTATTCATAAAGGGAACCCTGTTTCCGAGTCATTGGTGATCCTACAATACATTGATGAAACATGGAAAAATTCTCCTCATCTCTTGCCATCCGATCCCTATTCAAGGTCTGTGGTGCAGTTTTGGGCAGATTATATGGTTAATCAGGTACGTACTTCATAATTTCACATTATTTGAATTTTGGTGTAAACTTTACCTATGTTTTTGTTATATCGGAAATTTCACCATATACCACTGAGTTTAAGCATAATTCACCGTATACCACCAAAAACTTTCTAATACACCATATACCACTCAGTTATTGTATATTAACACAAAATGCCCTTTTTGCTAACTGCCGTGAGTCTGCCGTTTGGGGGACTTTACCATTATGCCCTTATACATCTAACTGGCGCCATTGATAGGGTTGACTCCATTGACCCCCCATTTCCCCTTTCCATTGAAGCTTCTCTCTGTTCTTCTCCATTAAAATCGAACCCCAAAATCAATCAAAAAGCTTCAAACTTTCATCGATCCCCCTGGCGGCAACAATTGCGATCCCAGCCACTTCCTAGATGGCTGGCGACTGCCCTCCCCTGGCCCCTTCCCCCGCCGGCGACATTCTCGACCCCTTCCCCCTGCGCCGGCGACCATCCCACTCCTACTCCCCTTCCCCGAAAATCATCCCCCACCTGTAACCCAATTCCCGATTTCCTCGCCGGACTCCCCTTCCCCGATTCCCGATCTCTCTAACCCTAAAAAAATCCTCAATTTTCCTCTTGCAAATCCCAATTGGAATATCGACGGCAAAGAAACCACCCATCAAATCTTGACGAAGAGAGAGAAGGTCGAATTAGAAGCGAATTTGTTCGAAAAAAATGCTGATAAGTCGAATGCTGATAAGTTGAATTGATGTTGTTGTATGGTTGCAGATTTTGAGTGTTGTCGGTTGGGAGAGGGAGGCCGACGCGCTGGCAAGAGAAAGGCTGGGCGCCGGCGTGGGTGGGGGCGGGATAGGGCGGTGGCTGGGGGTTCTAGTCATATTTCGTGCAAGCAGGGGATGTTAGGATAGGGTGGTGGTTGGCTGGGAGACATTGGTGGTTTGGGAGGAGGACGGGAAGGGGAGATGGCAGGGGTAGGGGGAGCTCTGGAAGGCCGGCGAGGGAGGAGGCTAGGCAAGGCCGCCGGCGAGGGAGGAGGCTGGGCAAGGCCGCCGGCAGAGAGGGGGAGCTAGGCTGGTGGGGGAAGGGGGTGTCGGGGTTGGTGGAGTGAGGAGGTGGTGGCTGTTTTTTTTTTTAATTCTTTATTTAACTAATTAATTTGATAATATTAATAAGAGCCAATATGTGACAGCCACATGGTATAATTAACCTTAATTACTAACGGCGTTAACGACAGACTAACGACAGTTAACAAAAAGGGCATTCTGTGTTAATATACAATAACTGAGTGGTATATGGTGTATTAGAAAGTTTTTGGTGGTATACGGTGAATTATGCTTAAACTCAGTGGTATATGGTGGAATTTCCGTTGTTATATATTGTTGAAGCAAATTAAAGATGTAGAGATTGATAAAATAATTAAAAGATAGATAATGGCAAGACATGTAGTAAAATGGACCCACATTTAACGTGGGAAAAATTATAAAAAAAAAAAAAACTCACGACGACGAGCACCTAAAATTATCCACTAAAGGAATAGGAGAGTACAAGAACCCTTGAAAGGGTGAGTATTACAAGAAACTCTCACTATAGGAACTCACAAAAGAGTAGTGCAAAATAAGGATTAGTGGATTAGGGAGATCGTGTATATGTAGAAACTCCGATCATGATATCTTAGAGAGCGTACATTTGTAGGTAAATTCTCTCTAAGCATAAATAATGTATGGAAGGACACCCAATCACTCATAGAGTGGATAATATGTATCGAAGTATTGGAAGATAATGTAGGTGGATCCATGCTCCCAAATGACGCCCAACACCTTATAATTATAGGTGATGTATGGAGGTGGAAGAAGTGTGTGGAATCTTCTATACACATTTTCTTAAATTCTCCACATAAATTTAGAATATTCATGATCTTCAACATTTTTAGATTCTTCCACAATTCTCCATCAAAATCTCAATGTAGTGAAATTTTCTAGAAACGTTGAGATGTAATAAATTGGGCTTATAGAATTTGTGCCACAATAACCCAACATATATAGTTTCATTACCACTCAATATCACTTTTATCTTTTTTGTTTGTTGTGATATGCACGTGAATATACATTCAAAAGGTTACGTTCATTTGGTTTATGAAACCTTACAAACTTTTAATAGTAAATTAAATTTAGCAATCTGGAAAAACAAAAAAAAAAATGCAACCACCATGTTTTTTTGGATAATTGGTATATATTCCGTATAATGGTTAATTGTTGTTACAAACATGTAGTCAGCTGCGGCAAGGCAATCGGTAATCAAAACAAGAACGGTATGTTTGGATTGGGAGAGATGTATTACTAGGGTAATAAAAGTCAAACTAAGCAAAATGAAAGTGAATATAGGGAAGGAGGAGATAGTGATGGTGTAATTGTAAGGAAACTTATATAGTGATGGTGTAGTATGAGGTGAAGAAAGAGGAACTAATACCCTCATTTTGGGGGTAATAGGCACTAGGGGAAGGGTAGATAACTATTACTCTCATTATGAGGATAATAATTCCTCCATCTCTCTCTTTTCCTTATGGCACAACTACTTTTTTTTCATTTGTAAACACCTTGTCTCCAACAACAACCCCTCTAATTACTTATGTTTTTTCAAGTTTGATTTTTATTACCCCCTTAATACATTACCTCCAATCCAAGCATGCCCTAATTATAATTGATTACAAGCAATAACTCCTAAGCTAGTAGGTACTAATAATCAATCAATTTCTTGTAATTGATACTACGTTACTAAAAAAAAATGCATGACGCATTTTGACTTTATTTTTACTACTCATATATTAACTTTGATCATATATCTCTGAAACATTACCATGTAAGATGTGTCACTTGAAGTTATTTTTGTGTTATGAATTGGGTGCACTTGCTAGCAATTTGAGCTAATTATTTTATATACCTAACTATTACATGCATGTAAAACGTACAACAGCTTGACATGTCTTTGAAGAAGGTTATAGCAAGTAGTCAAGGGATTGAAGAAGAAAAGAGCATAAGAGAAGTCCAAATGAAGTTTAATATTCTAGAGGAAAACATGAAGGTTATATTTCCATATGATGCACCTTCTTGTAATGAAGATATGGGGATGCTAGACATGTTGTTATGCGCTTTCCCAAGCATTATCAAAGGCATAGAAGATGCCTTCAATTTGAAGTTAATGGAACCACAAAAATATCCATTGACAACCTCAAGAATGGCATCTCTTTGGGGCCTCAATGTGGTAAGAGACACTGCCCCACCTCATGAGAGGTTGGTCAAATTTTACCGAGCTTATAGGAACTTGTGTTCCAATTTCTAAGTGCAATCTTTTTTTTTTTTTTTTTTAAGGGAAATCTAAGTGCAATTCCTCATTGCATGGTGTATTGTGTATTTGTGAGTAATAACAATAGACTACTGTGTCCTTAATTATTGTGGTCGCGGTAAGTTAATTAATAAGGCTTGTACTAAAAGTCAGTCTCGATCACAATAACTCTTTGTGATTACTGTGTACTATAAACTAATCTCACAATAACTCGTTGTAAGATCAATCGTATGTACTCCCTCCGTTTTTAAAAGTTCGACTCACTTTGTATTTGCGCGTTCTCCAATGAATATCTTTGACTATGAATATTTTCGACTATGTATAAGTGAAAATTATAAAAAGTTGATATTTGAAAATTTTATAATAAAGGGAATCTAATAAGATTCCTCATATTAATTTATTTCTATGTATAAATCATAATATGTGGTCAAACTTATTTTATTTTAACCAGATGAATAATAAGTGAGTCAAACTTTCAGAAACGGAAGTGGTATGAATTATTTCAAATTCAAAGGTAATTGTTTTATCAGTATCCCCTTTCGTTTTTAATAATAAGTGCTTCATTGACACTTTTTGCGCTATTTGATTGACCTAGTTTGACTAATGTTTGTTATTTATACTACCTCCGTTTCATATTATTTGTAACGATTCAACATTTCTACTCACACTTATGTCAAATAGTTGCAAATAATATGAAATGAAGGTAGTATATCAGATAAAAATATAGTTTTGTGAATACTTGTTGAAATCATTACAATAAATGAATAGATTATTAATTTTCAATTGTTATGATTTATAGTTTTTGATAATTAATAAAGATACAATTGGTCAAATATTTTCACCGGCATATGCGTCCAAATAAATTGAGCATTTATTTTAAAACGAAGGGAGTACAAATTAAGTAAAATTTTGATTTCTATTGATACGTCTTTGGTGTTATTGATTTCTATTGGTCAAATATTGATATGTCTTTGGTTGTTATTGATTTCTATTGTAGATGTCGTATGACTTCTAATTAATGAATTAACTTTTCCCCAAAAAATTAAGTAAAATTTTGGAGTCTGATATATTAAGTAAAAGTTTGAAAAAACCTCATTTATTGATTTTGCCAATAAAAGTTGGATAATGCTTGCTTGATTATATTTGATTTCATACTCCATTAATTGAGTACTTAAATAATTAATGGAATAATAATAATTTTCGTGTATATTTGGGTAATAATAATATTAGCGTACATCGAGCAGGTTCCAAGTAATTGATATTATCATACACCTGTCAATAATATAATATCTAGTAAAACCTCCTAACAATGTGTGTATACATTTATATGTCATGTCCAATCAATCAATCTTATTAACAAGAATTATTGATCATATTGCAAGATTAACAATAAAAACGCTATTAATTAGAGAAATCAATTAATAATCAATATATATATATAACATCAATCAAAATTCATCGTATAAACATGGATTCCCAAATCCTAGAAATAAACTTCTCAAACATGAAATAAATTATTAAACCTAAACCTAATTTAAGAAAGAAACCATAATTGAAAGCAATAAATAAAAGAAACGGTAATAAAAATACCTCAATGAATTGAAATAATAAACTCAAGAATCATCCATGAAAGAATCCATGGACATATCAAGAGAAACTATGGTTCGAGAGAAAAACTAAAACGAACGTTGTATGAAAGTAATAAAAGGCATTCGGAAAATAATAATCCCTTAAAATATTTCAATTCATATTATCTTAAAAATAATCTAAAGATGAATAATTAATTAAATAAATAAAGAAACGACAAATGAATAAATAAATAAATAGATAAATAAATAAATAAATAAAAATAAGAATAGTCGTTTGATGATTGGTTGATTAAAGGTGACAAGTAAAATCGTAGTAGTCGACGAAGCTTGCGATGGTGAGAAGACCAGATCCATAACGAGCTTCTTGCACGCCCAAATCAGCGGCTCCTTTGCGGGCTACTATGTCAAGCTGTGGGCGCTGGTCCATAGGGTCGTCTTTTAGGAGCTTTATCTCGAGTTCTAGGAAGCTATCGAGAAATGCAATCTAACATTACAAAGCACTTCAAGTCTAGTTTCCAACCTATAACTTGAATCGCTTTAATCCAATCTGTAGAATTCAATTAATTTATGATCAAAGAGTGCATAAGGGTTCGTTTTGACACATGGTTCACCAATGTCGTCGCGTTTTGCTACGTTTCCAACTCAAATTCAATTCTGAAAGACACATAGTGACCCTTGTGGGTGCCACCTTCATTTATATCATGCATAAAATTCTCAACATCAACACTCACGAACATAAACTCTTCGATCAACAAACTTGATCCGTAGACTCTATGTCAAAATACTGGCTAGATCAACTTTAAACACTTCGAATCATTCAAATGATTATGAAATCACCTTAAACTAACATTAAGAAAAACTCAAACAGAGCATAATAGAGCGATATATGATAACTATGACCCTAAAAATGACCAAAAAGATCATAGACTAAGAACGAACAAGCCGTAAAACTAGCATAAACATGCTATAATGGTCATCATTTTTTAGTCAATTTAGGCTAACTTTAATTACCATACTTTGGGGTAACTTAAACTAATATGATTTTAATGTAAATATGCCATGAGATAAGTTATATAATAAGGGTGTAAATAGGTCATTTGATAAGTTAGTTATACATGTATAATGGTCATATAATTACCTTCATATAATCTAATATTTGGTTTCTAGTCCTTTAAAGAGAGTAACTTTATTAGATGATGTCTCCGAAGAGACAAAGAAAGTAGCTTTATCAATATATAAGATGTAGGTAACTTTAAGTTTATTCATAACATAAGTAATCTATTGATCACTTTAGGGTAATCCTTCAACAGATATAGAATATTTATGTACACCACTACACCCAATTTATTAATTGTTTGTGATTTATAATAGATTACTTCATCTGATAATTTTATTTTTTGTCTTACGATTTTTATAAAATGAGGTTAAAGAGTTGTCATATCTGAAATCCAGATTGTATTAGAAAACTTTAGATCAAAATTATATCCGATTTACTAACATAACCTAATTAGTATTCCCTCTATTCATGACTATATATATCAAAATCTGATCAATAAGAATTTAAGAAACATTGGAGTGTGCAATTAGAGAATATATGAATATGGGAAAATGATTTTGACACACCTTTTATGTGAGAGCACAGTTTTTTATGCTCTCTCACATAGGGGTAGGGGTGTGCAAAAAAGGACCGAGACCGGAAACCGGATCGGGACCGGACCGGAATTGGACCGGACCGGATCGTTGGATTCCGGGTCGGTCTTCGGTCCTCACAAATTGGTGATTGCAAGTATCCGGTTCGGTTAAAAACCGGAATATTCCGGTCCGGATCGGAAAATGTATTTTTTATTTTTCAGGTGAAAATTTTAAATTTTATGTTTAAATTTCTAAAAAAATTAGGTACAAAACTTGTAATTTATATATTCTAGGTGCAAAATAAAAAAGCACGCAAACAAATAAATAATACGTTAAAAAAATAATATATATATATATATAACCTTAAGCTGAAAATTAAATACATGACATCTTAACCGTAGATTGTTGATCCATCAAATCTTACGGTCGAGATTTTTTCCCCCAATTTTCATGCAAAATGTCTACAATTTCTCTCTCCTCCTTCATTTGCACGTTATTTTCTTCCTCCTCTACCTTCTCTCTCCTACTTTATCTCTCCTAATTTCTGCCAATTTCATGCTACTTCTTCAAATCCAGCTTCAATTACTTTGATTTTCAGCAATTTCTTAGCTCTACGATCTACTATCAATTGAGTTATCCGTATTAATTTGTTTTTTTTTTTTTTTGAGTAATTTCGCTATTTTTGCTTGATTATGCTTTCTAAAATTTTGTGATTTGATTTTTGCGATTTGATTTATGTTGTTTTCGGATTTGATTTCATGAAATTCAATGTAAATTGTTTATAAACTTGAATAAAAACAAGTCAAATTGAGCGATTTGAGTATAAATTTGGCAAATATAAAACCTAGATTGATCAAGAACAAATCAAAGAAAAATATCCTTCAAATTCACGCTCGATTCTCCGACCTCAATTGCCCGAAATAATTTCCGATGAAGTCTTCATCGCAATGCTTGAAGGTCTTTATCTCAATCTTCCTCTCTCTAATAACTTATTTCAAATAATATTCTTGAGATTTTTTGTAATAGATATTTTGCTGAATTTTTTTTATTAGAATGTTTATTAATATCAATGAAGCACTAGAATTGTATATATGAATCGTGTAAGCCACTTGATTGATTCAATTAGAAGCTTATTTTTAGGTTTTTGTTGATATTTTGTGCTAAATTTTGAACATTAGTTGATGTTGATTGTTATGTTCGATTTGTGTAAGTAGCTAGATTAATAATCAGGTGAGAGCACTAGAACTGAAGTACCCTGTGATGCTTGATAGATTTCTGCTTGAAGTGAATGAATAGGTTTATGATTGTTTTTGCTGGTCAAATATTCAGGTGAGAGCACTGCATTACTTGCATTCCAACCGAATTATTCACAGGGACATGAAGCCGCAAAATATTCTTTTTGTATGATATTTACTTTTGGCTCTTTGGCTATCCATAATTTCCACCCTCATTTTCTTTTGGTAATAGTTATATTTATTGTTGAAGAATCGTTATTTTCTGAGCTTTTCATAGTTTATATATATTTTCATAGTCTAATGGATATGACTATAACTCCATAGTTGTCCAATTTGGAGACAAAGTTACTATTTGCTCATAATGTACTTGTTTGGAATGTCTCAGTAATTTTTTGTGCCTTTTATTGTCATTGCATTTCATGTTAAAGGTCAATTGAAAACAATTCATAATTTTATTAGCTGTAAGCATAGGGGTAAGGCTTCAGACATCTAGTCCCTTTACCTTGCTGGGGGTGATCACCTTTGTTTAGGCGATTGGGTAACATTTGATGTTCAGTAATGATTGTATTGCCAATTTCCTTTATGAACTTTGCATTATCTTATATTTTTTCATCTTTACTCCAGCTTTGTGATTTTGGATTTGCTCGTGTCATGTCAATGAACACTGTTGTACTTCGCTCCATCAAAGGTCAGCTTTGTGATTTGTTTGCTTTGCTAGTAATCTAATTTCCAAGTTCATTATGGTTCATGCAAATACTTTTTTCTTGTATTTCTGTGGACTTAATTTCTGTTTATGCTCTTCAGATGTTTTTCTCTTACATTGTCAAAACCCTTATTAACTCTCCATCAGGTCCAAAGAATGCAAAAGGAAAAGGAGTTATAGAAGTTGGTCTTTTATTCACAAATTATTTTATTGTTAACACTTTTGCTCACTTTATGCATCTGACTGTTTCAGGTACTCCATTGTACATGGCTCCTGAGCTTGTTCGCGAACAGCCATATTATCACACAGCTGACTTGTTGTCAAAATTGATATAATTACCTTATATTTATATATAGTGGCCTTCGTTATTTTTATATATAGTGGCTTTTGTATAAATGTGGTCAAAATTGTTATAGTTACCTTATTTTTATATATAGTGACCTTTATGTAAATGTGGTCAAAATTGATATAATTACCCTATTTTTGTATATAGTGACATCTAAGTAAATATTGTAAAAATTGATATAGTTACCTTATTTCTATATATAGTGACCTCGGTGTAAATGTCATCAAATTTAATATAATTTGATATAATTACCTTATTTTTGTATATAATGACCTCTGGGTTGTTTCACACCATCAGATTATCTAGTGAACTTTCAATGGCTAAGATTGCTTGTTTTTAGTTTTCACCATTCCGGTCCAAAACCGGACCGGACCGGAATAAACAGGTCTAGACCGAAACCCTAACCAGTTGATTACGGTCCGATCTCCGGTCCGCAAAAACAGGTGATTCCGGGTTCCGGTCCCGGTCCGATTTTGGACCGATGCACTGCCCTACATTAGGGTGTGCCAAAATTCATTAATGGTGTGCTAAAATCAATTTCCATGAATGTATCTAACAACCGTTCACCATAATAACCAATCATTCATTAAGCATATTTAAAATAATTATTGCTCATCCAATCAACTATAAGTAGTGAATTAAATTCTTTATAATGACTATATATACAGACCTTTTAAGGTATCAACCGTATCATTAATACAAAAGCTAATTAAGCAGCTAACAACTTGACATGTACGTAACGTACCATTACATAGTCTATTTGGCCCTAAGTCATAATAATGCTCTTGTTAAAGATTTGATTCTGAAGCACTAGTTCGTTTGTTAGGAGAGGAAGAAGCTCCTAACTCCCCTTATATTCACATAATACGACAGTGCAAGGCACTTATTTTGGGTTGAGATTGGGAAGTGAACATAGGGAAGCCAACAAAGCGGCTGACTGACTTGCGAACTATAGGGCGCTTTCTTACCAGAAGTTGGTGTTGTTAGAGGCAGTCCCGAAGGACCTTCGTGATATTTTATTGGAGGATATAAGTGATGTTGTGTGGGCTCGTAAAGTACCAGTTGCTTCTTGAGGTGGGCTGGAGCTTTGGAGTGCTGCTGGGGTTTCTTCTTAGTTGTCCTTGCTGTTTTGTTTTTGTTTTGTAATCTGCTTTTTATTGGGTGTTGATAAACGTCGCTCGCAAATTACATAGCGGCGCTCGCATTTTTTGCTTGAATTTTCTAATTTGCCCCTCGTATATAAATATTCGCGAAACTAACTTACGAAACTTACAAGTCATTTCACTACCAACATTCTCTCTCTCTAAAATTTTCTCACTCTAAAAAAAATCAGAAATTAAAAAAAAAAAATTAGAAATTTTTTTTTAAAAAAAAATCCCAACATTTGAAAATCACCCAAACACCAACGAACACCACCCATCCAAGGTTGAATTCGGCTATGGCGGACCGGCAACGCATAAGGTTGATATACGTTGGTCGTGGGGGCGGCGTCAGTGGCGGCGAGCAAGTATGGTTGTGGTTTAATTTTTTTTTTCAATTTGAAAAAAAAAAAAAAAATTTGTGGAGACTTGTGCCTGAAAAATCCGGAAGTCTGGGTTTCCGACTTTTTTTTTTATTTTTTTTTGTGTGTCGTGTTTATTTTTTTTCTTTGTTTGTCGTGATTTTTTTTTTGAGTAATATAATTTTTTTTATTGTTATTGTTATGTATTATTGTTATGTATATGCTTTTTATTAATTTTGGAATTTTTTTTTCCTCGTGATTATTGATATGTAATTTTTTTTTATTGGTATTGTTTGTATAATTGTTATTTATTATGTTTTTTATTAATTTTGGATTTTTTTTTCCTCGTGATTATTGGTATGTATTTTTTTTTTACTAATATAATTTTAATTTTTTTAGTGTTATTGTTATGTATTGTTGTTATGTAATTTTTTCGTGATTAAAATTTTATAAAAAAATTGATTGAAATTATTATTGTTATTGTTATTACCATTGTTATTATTGTTGTTGTTGTTGTTGTGTTGTAATGTTGCCGATTTTGTGGTTTATTATTGTTTTGATTTGGTTTATTATTGTTTTCAAATTATTAGTAGTTATTATTGATCCCTGGTAATGTTGTTATTATTGTTTATTTGATTTGGTTTATTATTGTTTTCAAATTATTAGTAGTTATTATTGATCCCTGGTAATGTTGTTATTATTGTTTATTTGATTTGGATTATTATTGTTTTGAAATTATTTTTTGAATTTGAATATTAGTTGTTCAACTTTAATATCATAGTTATATTTGTAATTATTACTGATATTTGATTTTGTATTTATTTAATGTAGATTGAGGGTTCGGGTCCTCGTCATGAAGTATCAAGACGTTTGAATGCGTCTATTAGGAGGGAGTCTGGTCGTTCGGTAAATACGGGGGCACCGTATCATCATGAGCAGCAATATGGGTCTGCAGGTACTTCGTCGGGGGAGCATCAATCGCAAGGGAGCCCCCCATGTACTCGTCGGGCCAAGTGCCGACATCTGACGAGGAGGACGATGAGCGGGCAAGTCAGGCTGATCGAGATGAAGAGTACGACCCAGTTGATTATCATACAGTGCATAGGGGTCAACAAGGGAGATTTGTGAGTAGCAGTCAAGCGAGTCAGCCTTCCACCAGCTCAGCAGAGACATGGGTAGTGCAGCAGCTGATGCCAGGTGGTCCTAAGGATGGTACTGTTATCCCCAGTTTTGGTGGTCACGTGGCTGCATATATTTAAGGCGGGCAGGAGCGCAATGTTTTGCACTGTTTGAGCAGGACACAGTTGTGTTCTGCATTGGTTACCTGGCGAGGTCATCTTGCACAGGAGCATCTGGAGCTGATTCACGGTAGTGGTGTGTCTCACTTACCAGGGATCATGTTTAGGCGTTTTGATTGGCTGTTGATTTCTGCGTTTGTTGAGAGATGGCAGCCAGATACGAACACCTTTCATATGCCATTTGGGGAGATCACGATCATGATGCACGATGTGTACCATATTCTTGGGCTTCGTGTTGATGGTTCCATGGTTTCCACTACTCCTAGCACGGACGTAATACAGGACGCGAGTACGAACTGGGGAAGAGATGAACGAGAAGTGCGGTACGAAGACCATTTGGCAGGGTAGTGGGGTGCTGACCGAGAGGATTATGGACTCGACCTTGGAGGAGCGAGCAGAGGCCCTTCAGTGTCCATTACAGTGCCTACATGTGGTTAGTATTGGGCGGATGTCTGTTTTTGGACAAGAGTGGTAACAACACTTATCCTTCCTTCCTCAACGAGCTTGTTGTTGATGAGCTGCAGATTAGTGACTACTCTGGGGTTCAGTTTCTCTGGCATATCTGTATCGCCAGTTGGGTTCGACATCAAGAAAAGATGTCGATTCAATCGCTGGTTGTCTCACGCTTCTACAGGCGTGGATCTACGAGTACTTTCCGTGCTTCCGGCCTCAGCAGGGTACCTTGACGAGGGATCTTAGTATTCCTCGTGCGTGTGCTTGGGATGTGGGATCGGGATGCCCGAACAAGAGCACGGAGCGCCTCCTTGCTTTTCGTGCTCGATTGGATCAGCTGACCGACAATGAGGTTAACTGGCTACCGTACGGAGTTCATCCCGCTCGACGCGTGCCAACCACTCTATTCATTGGCTGCATCTAGTACCAGAACATCATTGAGCCATACATGCCTAATTGAGTGGTCCGACAGCTTAGATTCGTGCAGGAGATTCCGCGGACCATTATCAGGCCTGAGAAGGCCAAGAGACCGACAAACTTGAAGATGTATCGGGTTGACTTTCCGACCGAGATGACATTTGCGATGTGGACTCGGTTTGTCCCTGGCTTGTCTTTCAGTATTGTTTTAGGTGCCCTCACCAGACTCGGTGGTGGAGGTACTACGGTTGCTCTAGGTTACATGCAGTGGCTGTACCGATTTTCTCCTGGTGGGTCATCAGATGGGAGTAGCATACTTCCCGAGAGGACTAACACGAACTACGTAAGTAGTTGTCTTTTATTATACTGTAAATACCACTTAAACAAATTGTAATTTCTGTAACTAATATGTTGTTCAGTTACTTGCAGTGGATGGGTCGGTCCTTGGAGATTCACCAGAGATCACTGAATGAGTATCCCAGCATGACGCGTGAAACAAGGGAAATGAATGAGCAGCTGATAGCTGACTGGAAGGCGATGATGGGGTTGTGAAGTACTTGTCTATTAGTTTTATATTAGCAAACAGTGATTCACCAACCTGCAATCGGGGGAAGTGGTGAATCTGGTGCAAGATCAATATGGATAAAATGTGAGCCCCCAACTGTAGCAATCACAAACTCTCGGGCAGGTGTCGTGACCGTCCTTCGTGACCGCAACGACAAGATCGTGAGGCATGGGTAGTAGCAGGTTGGTACTTGGCCTACACCAAGAATAATAACCATTGCGTTGAACCAAGTAGCAATAGGAAATAAATCTTGAATTGCAACCATCCAATGACGAGAATCAACCGCCCCACCGTCTCATCGAATACGCTCCACATTCATCCCAAGCCTTCCAAGCCCGTAAATCCTTTCGTACAGGACTTGATAACCGAGGACCTCGTTAGCTATTGTTTCTCGAGCGTCATACCATTGCCCTTGGTCACCGAAGAAGCAGTCAGCCACACAACGAAAGCCGCAGTTACCATCGCCAATGACATCCTTCCATCCTGTGATGTAAGGCAATATCGGTTCTGGAAGCAAGTGTCGATACCGGCTTTAGCTGATGTCACATGGATCTTCTGCACGAAATTATTGTTCAGCTATTAGTACAGTAAATGATGAAATACGTGAAAATCAAAATAGCCAATCTTAACTGTTTGCTGCGGACCACGTTGAGTGTTTCGACGGTTGACATGTTCGAAATAACAAGGATCACTTCTTGCATCATTGTTCCTTCGTCGACCACGAACGTTGTGGTTTTCAGCAGGATCTCCAAGGTTTGAATGATCCAGATGCAGCTCCTCCTCAATGATGCGAGATACATTTCGAAGAACAGCAG